CTTTTGTTTCAAATATTATACTTTTATAACGTTGCATGCTTTTATGTAGTGGTTCTCAAAGCCGGTCCTCCTAGACCCCCAGATGGTCCTCGTTTTTGCTCAATCTCTATGCACTGCAAGTTTGAGAACCACTGTTTTAATAATCTGAAAATGGAAACTTTAAGAGTTTGATGTGAGGCACATTTCAGCCACGCTTTACTTTTGATGTATTGAAAATTAACACAATCGACACAACACCAAAAATAAGACACAGTGCAAAATCATAAGTCAGTATTTAATATCAGCCTCAGTAAATCAGAGTAAGTGCTTCATTATAATAGTCTCCTCCCACTATTTTGCGCTTTGAGAGGGAAACTCTAAGCAAAATTCCAAAAAGCAGCAACCAATGTTAGATCTGTGCCTAAAGTTATTAACACATCCCCTCCCTTTTCCCTCTGACCCTAACCTTACCCTGAACCTACAACCTAAACCTAAACCCAGCCCTAACGCTGCTGACAATCAACCAAGCTTCACCAGATCGTTAGTTAACCCTTAGAATTAGTTATTACTTTTGTTTTGCAATCCTATTCAAATGTAATTACATCAATACATAATTCATTTTAGTTACACAACGAATTACATTTACTTTCTGCATCAACAAGTTCGAGTCTGCACCTCTGACTTTTGTGTCTAACTAATGGCAAAAACATGGCCAAAATGTAACAGGTGTTTTCCTTTCTGCAAACAAGACTGTAGAGATAAACTTATAAATCATAATAAATAAATCCTCCTCTACACAAATGTGACTGGATTGAAAGTTTACAATTTGCACTCTACACACAATTTATCTTGCTTCTCACTGCTTGTTTCAATGAGCTATAAGTCTAAAACAATAAAATTACAGCATGTTTTTGCTTGTGCTTACGCAACTTCTAAAGGTTAACAATTGGAGCGTAAGGAGCTAAAGGAGACCATAAGTAGCTACAGGAGACCATAAGGAACTAAAGAAGACCATAAGAAGCAAACGAGACCATTAGAAGCTATAGGAGACCATAAGAAGCTACAGGAGACCATAAGAAGCTACAGGAGACCATAAGGAGCTAAAAAAGACCATTAGGAGCTAAAGGAGACCATAAGGAGCTATGGGAGACCATAAGAAGATACAGGAGACCATAAGGAGCTATAGGAGACCATTAAAAGCTATAGGAAACCATAAGGAGCTACAGGAGACCATAAGGAGCTAAAGAAGACCATAAGGAGCTAAAGGAGATCATAAGGAGCTAAAGGAGATCATAAGGAGCTGTAGGAGACCATTAGAAGCTATAAGAGACCATAAGGAGCTACAGGAGACCATCAGGAGCTAAAAGAGACCATTAGAAGCTATAGGAGACTATTAGAAGCTACAAGAGACCATAAGAAGCTATAGGAGAACATACAGAGCTATAGGAGACCATAAGGAGCTATAGTAGACCGGAAGGAGCTCTAGGACACCATAAGGAGCTATAGTAGACCAGAAGGAGCTCTAGGACACCATAAGGAGCTATAGTAGAACATAAGGAGCTATAGGAGACCAAGAGAAGATATAGGAGACCATAATGAGCTTTAGGAGACCATTAGAAAATATAGGAGAGTATAAGGAACTATAAGAGACCATAAGGAGCTAAAGGAAACCATAATGAGCTAAAGGAGACTCTAAGGAGCTATAAGAGACCATAAGGAGCTACAGAAAACCATAATGAGCTATAAGAGACCATAAGGAGCTATAGGAAACCATAATGAGCTAAAGGAGACTATAAGGAGCTATAAGAGACCATAAGGAGCTACAGAAAACCATGATGAGCTAAAGGAGACTATAAGGAGATATATAAGAGACCATAAGGAGCTATAGGAAACCATAATGAGCTCAAGGAGACTATAAGGAGCTATAAGAGACCATAAGGAGTTACAGAAAACCATAATGAGCTAAAGGAGACTATAAGGAGCTATAAGAGACCATAAGGAGCTACAGAAAACCATAATGAGCTAAAGGAGACTATAAGGAGCTATAAGAGACCATAAGGAGCTACAGAAAACCATGATGAGCTAAAGGAGACTATAAGGAGATATAAGAGACCATAAGGAGCTATAGAAAACCATAATGAGCTAAAGGAGACTCTAAGGAGCTATATAAGAGACCATAAGGAGCTACAGAAAACCATAATAAGCTGAAGGAGACTATAAGGAGCTATAAGAGACCATAAGGAGCTACAGAAAACCATAATGAGCTAAAGGAGACTATAAGGAGATATATAAGAGACCATAAGGGAGCTACAGAAAACCATAAGGAGCTATAGGAAACCATAATGAGCTAAAGGAGACTATAAGGAGCTACAGAAGACCACAGAAGTTATAGAAGACTGATAAAAGCTATAGAATATCACTAAGAGCTATACGAGACCATCAAAACAAAATATGACCCACTTTTTTCCGAGGCATTTCCCAAAACTGCTTACTCAGCACCTATATTGGCGCTTCAGCTGTCCCATTTCACACGGCCTCAAACTTCAGAGATCATTAAAAAAGAGGGATTTACTCTCTCGCTTGCTTCAGACCAGGAAGCTGATCAGCAGAGGCGACAGAAAACTGAGCGAGAGAATAAACAGAGAGTCCTCTACACAAACAGCCGGCTTTGGGTGAGAACAGTCTGGCACACTGATCTTTGCTATTACAGCCTAAAGCGTCAGTTTGAGCGATCTGTGTCAGTGAGATGCGTTCTCTCGTGCTCTCAGAGCTCTGTCACTGCTGCGAGAGAAATTGATCTTGCAAACTTTGACAGTTTTGACACCCCCCCCCCTCCCCGCTTACTCCCTCTGGGTATTTTACAGCTGCGGAAGCTTAAATATCCACTTGAACTCCTGCGAGTTTTGCTGTAGTTACTTAAAAAAGAAGGCTTATTTATCATCTCCAGGGAAGTGGATGTTTCACTGCCTGTCAAAAGTTTGCCTCGTTCTGTTTTTCTGAGAAATGTTAGGTTTTTACTGTTACCTTACAAGTAAGTAAGAAATGATTTTTTGATCATAAGCAGCTCTGTGATAATGCTTTGGCTGTTTTTATGTTCAACACTTAGCTTCACCTTCATCGACATATCTTCCTTGGTGTGAAGAGCAGCCCTTGCCTAAATAATGATTTAAAAATGTTCTTTTCAAAACTACTTTTAAAAGCACTTACTGAAACACCTGAAAGGTATGAGCACCGATAAGCACTGATGTCATAACAAGAACATAAAATGATTATTATTATTATTATTATTATTGTTATAAACGATTATATGGTATATGGTAACTAATCAAGTCATTACAGCTTCTCCAGTTCCTCTTCCTTCAATGCCATCATCATCAAAATTGAAGGAATTTGTTCTTTAATGTTGAAATGAAACAGTAGAAGCCATATCGCCCCCTACGCTTCCTGTAGTGTATTACAGTCTGTCAGAGTGACTGTGTGGATCATATGAACATTATAGAGCACTTTTTAAATGAAACAGTAGAAGCCATATCGCCCCCTACACTTCCTGTAGTGTATTACAGTCTGTCAGAATGACTGTGTGGATCATATGAACATTATAGAGGCTTTTTAAATGAAACAGTAGAAGCCATATCGCCCCCTACGCTTCCTGTAGTGTATTACAGTCTGTCAGAGTGACTGTGTGGATCATATGAACATTATAGAGGCTTTTTAAATGAAACAGTACAAGCCATATCACCCCCTACACTTCCTGTAGTGTATTACAGTCTGTCAGAATGACTGTGTGGATCATATGAACATTCTAGAGGCTTTTTAAATGAAACAGTAGAAGCCATATCGCCCCCTACGCTTCCTGTAGTGTATTACAGTCTGTCAGAATGGCTGTGTGGATCATATGAACATTATAGAGGCTTTAAAATGAAACAGTAGAAGCCATATCGCCCCCTACACTTCCTGTAGTGTATTACAGTCTGTCAGAATGGCTGTGTGGATCATATGAACATTATAGAGGCTTTTTAAATGAAACAGTAGAAGCCATATCGCCCCCTACACTTCCTGTAGTGTATTACAGTCTGTCAGAATGGCTGTGTGGATCATATGAACATTATAGAGGCTTTAAAATGAAACAGTAGAAGCCATATCGCCCCCTACACTTCCTGTAGTGTATTACAGTCTGTCAGAATGGCTGTGTGGATCATATGAACATTATAGAGGCTTTAAAATGAAACAGTAGTAGCCATATCGCCCCCTACACTTCCTGTAGTGTATTACAGTCTGTCAGAATGACTGTGTGGATCATATGAACATTATAGAGCGCTTTTTAAATGAAACAGTAGAAGCCATATCGCCCTCTACGCTTCCTGTAGTGTATTACAGTCTGTCAGAATGACTTCAAATGACCATTACAGAGCATTATAGAATGTCTAAGTCAACAACACAGAGGTAACTAATCAATTTTGTCTACTAATCACTGCAGGCCTAAAGTTTAGTTTTGAGTTCATGCAGACTTTACCTGCGACGCTGGAATTGCTGGTTGATGAGCCGCTGTGTGATTGTCCTGATCACCCGTCGACTGTTTGGCCATCAGAGACTCTGCTCGTCTGATAACGTCCCGCATCTGGTGGATGAAGCCCTCTCGCTCCGAAGGAAGGATGAACTCATTATGCACCTGAAAGAGAGAAAAGAAAAGAGAGGGACAGAGGTCATCTGTGAGGAAGGAGGAGCAAAATCTGAGTCACAATACAAGTGAAAAGTTTGGAAACACCTACTTCTAGAAGGGTTTCTCTTTATTTTGGCTATTTCCCACAATTTATAGGCATAACAAAGACATCAAAGCTATGAAATAACACTTATGTAATTCTGCAGACTTTTAGTCGTCCCCATTTGCCTTGATGTAGCCTTTTCTTGGTGCTCACTCAGAAAAATAAAAGTTCTTAAATGGTTCTTGGCTTGGATGAACATTTCTACGAGAGCCCTTTAATTGGTACAGAACCTTTACATTATGTGGAGGTTCTTTAAACTTTGAAAAATGAAGAGTCACTCAATAAAAGATCATTTAGGGAACCAAACTAACTGGAGCTTCACTCCAAAGAACCCTTTTGGCACTTTTATTTTTAAGAGTGATCCTCTCAGCTTTATGAGGTGGACATGACTGAGGAATTTACATATTTCAAATCAGTAGCATTTTTATATTGTCTGCTCATCCAGTAATGTTGACCTAAAGAGCTGTTGACATTTTTTAATAAAAAAAAAGAAAAACCAAAAGGTCATGTACTTTTTTTTTCGACAGTGACGAAATGCAGAGACGTCAATAACTGCTCAAAACTACTTGTATATTTAAATAAATTATACTTTCTTACAGTAAAATGTATGGTTTTGAAAAATAATTACATACATATATGCATATTTTACTGAATTTTAGGTTATTTAATTTTGTAATGTTCTAATGTTTGTTTTTATTGTTGATGGTTTTTACGGTTTATGTTTATTATAACTTTGACTGCTGACGTGACCAGTAATTCATTGCCTTTTGGATATAAATGAAGTCAAATCAACTCAGCCCAACGCAACACTTCACAATATCACTCAACCCCAACTCAACCCAATGCAACACAACTCAACCCACCCCAATGCAAAGCAGTGCACCTCAAGCCAACCCAACGCAAGGCAACTTGGTTCAACTCAACCCAACACAACCCAATGGAGTTTAATTCAACCCAATACAAGGCGACGCTATCTAATTCAATGCAACTCAACCCAACTCAATCCAACCCAACGCAACAGAACTCAATTCAACCCAACACAAGGTGACTTAATCAGATTCAACTCAACTCAACCCAACTCAATCCAACCCAACACAGTGCAACACAATGTAACTCAACTCAGTGCAACACAAATCAAATTAATTCAAAATTTTCAAGCATTTAGTCATAAGCCATCAAAATCATATCTTTATGAATTACATTCGCACATCAGCCTTTTGACTGGTGCTGCACGTGAGTCACTATAGAGGTTGATGAGTTGAAGTTGAGCAACACAGAACCCACCACATCTCTGAATATTCCTAGACATCCCGAATAAGCCTGGGGTTGTGTATGAGCTTGTTTAAACTTGTGCTCACTTTTAATAGCTGGTGGTTTTTAATTCAGTCCGTTCTGTCTTTGTACTGCTGTAACACCGCTAATAGCTGTGGGCGTGCACGGGGCGACCAATAACACTGCAGGAGAGGCTCCGCACTGCCAGAGCTTTCACTCCAAACAAAGAGGCTTCTGTACCTTAACAAACTGCAGGCTGAAAGTGCACGAGCATCACTCACATGTGTGCACCAGCGCACAGCCGCACACTCCAGCGTACAACACCAGCCAGCAGCCACTAAAAATGACTGCTGAGAGATACCAATAAAAATCAGTATCATAACGTACGTCCAAAAGTCTGCAGACTCCAGAGAAGGGTGTCAATAGTGAGTCTGTGCTGCAGTAACAGCCTCTACTCTTCTGGGAAGGCTCTAGATGTTGAACATTGCTGTGAGGATATGATTGAGCATTAGTGAGGTCAGGTACTGATGGTGGATCACTCCAATTCATCACATATTGGATGGAGTTCCATCACTCTGGAGAACACAGTTCCACTGCTCCACAGCCCAGTGCTGGGGGGCTTTATACCCCTCTAGCCCACACTTGGCACTGGGCATGGTGACCTTAGACTCACATACAGCTGGTCACTGCTTTTCTTTGGTGCAATGAGTAGAAGGGCTGTCTGAATACCTTCAAACAGACTGTGTATATCAGATGGTACTTAAACTAGCACTGATGTAGTTAACGAGCTTCCTGAGTGCTGCTACTTTACACTAAAAGTCATTTAAACCAGACAGAGTTTGTTCTGACTGGACTGTTTCGTTTCATTTCTCCTAAAAGTTCACCAAACATAACACAGTGTTGCAAACATTAATCAGACAGGAAGAACATTTGGAGGGTTTCATTCCAAAATGCTGTAACAATTTTGGACATAATGAGTTTTTGAAAAGAATAACAGTGGATGTATAATGGCAAACACATGTTAATTCTCTAATATAGGTGATATTAATCATAATTCGATATTTCTTATATGTCTAAAACCCCCCTCCCAACAACACACACAGGGTCTAGCGTCATATGGATGCACCCGCCTGTCAAAAAAACGCCTGCATGCTTGCGGGATTTCAGCCAGAGTGACAAAACGTGACTGCAGCTGAGCCAAGCTGAGCTTTTTGACTGTCAGAATGTAGAAAATGGCAAAGCCAAAAATACCAGATTTTTCACACACTCTACGCCTCGGTCAGACCTTAAGAGGTCACCTGCTCAACCCCAGTCCGACTCAGGACCAGTCAATCTACGAAAGATGCACACGGAGATGTACTTAAACGACTGTCCACTTCAAGCACTTCATGCAAAAGTACAACCACAAAAAGACTTCAGAACCTCTTGGCATCAGGAATTTCCATGACAACATAAAGCAGACTGTATTGCGAACTCTGTTCAAAAGCAAGCAAAGATATAGCTGGGAAAATCATTTCTTAACAGGAATGAATCATTTAAAAAAAGAAACATGGCGAGAGTCGAAAAGCATAAAAATGCACAGTTTTCTTATCACAGAGTGCGCCGACTCCCTTAGCTAGCAAAGTGGCTCATGCATGTGAAAAAACAGCCGGGAAACAATTCAAAGAGTTTAAAATTAAACACATCCTACATCATATGTGTCAAACACAAGGCCCGCAGGCCAAGTCAGGCCCGCGGCACAATCCTATTCGGCCCGCAAAATTATTTTGATTTTCAATAAATATTAGACCATTTCACCCTGAGCTGCACTACAGTCCCCAGCATGCTATGCTCATACATACTAGGCTATCTGCTAATCTGCTAATATGTCATAGTATGATACATCCTCCTTTGCACAGCTCCACACACTCTCAGTACCGTGTGCTGCCTGTGTTCTGTTCTGTATTTATTGTAAGTCTTTTGTTTGTATTTATTGTACTGTACTGTCTGCCCTGTGTTTATCGTATTGTCTCGCTCTTGTGTTCCTGTGTTGGTCCTGGAGGAATGTTGTTTTGCTCAGCTGATATGACCATAAAGCCTGACTTGACTTGACTTGATGCACTGCAACGTAATGTGTGCTCCCACCCAGATCACAGATGCCAGGTGTCCAGTTCAAGCGAATGGGCAGTCTTGAAAACCTACTATACACTGGGGTCATTTAAAGAGGTTTATCAGTGATCTGCAGCTAATGTAGTCTATTGTTTTATATAAAACAATTTTATTTAAATAATTTTTTTATTGAGTGTTCAGTGCCTATTTTTTGACGGTGTAGTTTTGGCATATTTTGAATGTACAGTGGTCAGTTTGGCTCATGTTAAGTAAAAATGAAACAGAAACACATCTGGTCCACGGGCTTGTTGACATTTTTTAATATTAATGAGTTTGACACCCCTGGCCAACATGAGAGCATGTGAAGACCTACCCTTCACCAAATTCACCTCCCAAACCTTGCTAATGAAAAAAAGGAGACTGGATGCGTCGAAGGCGTCTGATAATATGTATGACAAAAATCAGGCGCGGTGGAAGGCAGAGATACTTAAATCAGAGAGCTGAACTGAGGTGTCTCGAAAAGCTTTTTGCATATTATAATTTGGCACTTAAGCTATTGGCAAGTGGTCTAAATTATCTGGAGCCCTGTATTTCACAATAACCGCTTATTTGCTGAATTTAACACATTTCAGAATAAAAAGTGAGACATAAAATGTGGCCTTTTTATTTTCTCCTAGGCAATAAACTGAAATTGAAGAAATGCCATATTTAAGAGTAGGGTCATTTTCTGGAGGTGTACAAATTGTTGTGCATGACTCTACAGTCCAGTTGGGTCCAGACTCGGTGCTTTACGTGCGTGAGCACGTGCACGCATACACAGACAGACACTAGATTCACGTAGGCGAGCTCGAATACACACGACTACATTCACGCCCACACGTGCGCAGCCGCACGGACACAATCGCACCGACACAGTCTAAAGGAGGGAAGTGAGTGGATATAATAAACACATTATGATGTGATTTATAGGCTGCTCCTGCACACTAACTCCACTCAGAGCTCTCCACAGAGCAGCAGTGTTCTCTCCCAGCTCTGTCCGCTGTGGAGAACAGTGTGCAGATGTAACCGAACACTTCAGCCGTGCTGCTCCTGTTCAAGGAGGAACACAAAGCTGAAGTGTCTCAGTCTGCAGGGCAGCCGTGCTGTGCAGGGAACTCAGTGTAAACACACACAGGAGGGGCACGCGAGCGAGAGCCTTATCTCTGACACTGTTCTTGTTCCGAGCTCTGATAAGAACCTGATATCAGCAGAGAGGCTGACAAGCACCCAAAACATCTGTTTCTGTGTCCAAACTGGGTGAAGTTAGGTGTATCTGGTGAGTTAAACCTGTTTTCAAGAATGTGATATGATAAAAGAAACAGTGCATTTCTGAAAAACAAGTATAAAAGTAGCTGCAGAACCGCAGTGGAACTTCTCCATCGTTCAGCAAGGGAACTAGTTTTTTTAAAGAGTCTGTTTTTCTCTTTTTGGATCCTTTCGGTCTAAAATAACACGCTGAAGCTCCAGAGTGAGAGGAGTGAGCGACAGTGAAGCAGAGCAGGAGCTGAACCAACACAACAGGATGAAATTAAATGCCAAAAAAAAGGAATTAGAGACTAAAAATTAATGACTAAAACAGAACTGAGAAACAGTGGATTCCTTTCTTCGCTAATATGCTTGAGAAAAAATAGTCAGGAAAGTACAAATCAAAGAAATGGAAGTGAGCTAATGGAACGAGTAATTCACATCTGGTAATTACATAATAAACCTAACACTGTAGCTCTGTGACTCAGTCACAGTCATCAATAATAAAGACATGATTCACTGAAATCAAAATTCTTAGCGGAAAACCGTAAAACAAAATAAACTGTAATTGATTATTTGATTTACTGCTTCTTATGAACACACATTCTAACAAAAAAGCTAAATAAAAGAAAGTAAGATAATAAAGATTATTCACTTTTATCACTGATAGTATCTGCTTTCACAAAACTGAAACAACAATAATTAACAGTTCACAACAAACAGCATGTGGCAAGAAATCCAGCTCGATAATAGAGAACGGATGGTCATCCAAGGCCATGAACTCCATTATCTTTCGTTATTCTTTTTACTTTGTCTGTAGTTTGTGATTTTTTGATTTCATCATTTCACAGTCTGAGCGTTCAGATGGTGTCGGCGTGTTCGCAGGGACTGTCCTTTCTGCTTCTGTAGTTTTGCCGTATTCTGTGTATCGAGCTATCGAGCAATATTAAGTGCCATAACTTTTGTACAGGCCATGTTTTATCCCCAGTATGTAGCGCAGGGGTCACAACCCACATGTTAAGAATAACCATTTTGTCATTTCAACACTCAAACCACCTTGGGAGCCACAATATTTTATATTCATTTTACCATCTTGGCTGTAAATGTGTCTCAGTGTGTGCTGATGTTCTAGTACAGGATAAAAATATAATATAAACAAAAACGCAGACTTACTTTGCTCTGCTTTAAGCTTTAGCTCAGTGATAGACACTTTTCTCACATCTCCAACAGGAAACTTTTCCAAAAGCAGAATAATTTCTTGTAAAATGTCTCTCAACGTTCAACTTTTTACAAGGCTGAAGTCGCTTCTCTTTCGCCAGCTTCTTGTTTGAATTTTCCCATTCCTAACTGCTGCAAAATTTGAGGTGGACTGGGAAAACTTTGACTCCAAATTATCAATGTTGGTCTTACATCTCTCTCTTTGCCGTTTCGTTAGCTACTAGCTAGGCGAGATTGTTGTCTGTGTTGCTATGGTGACCAGCAGTCTGCGCTGATCTTCAGGGTTAAAGGGTGAATCAGCAGTTCTACTTTAACTCCAGAGTTTAAGACCATTTATTGTTAAACTGTGTTGAACGATCAGCAGAGCTTTATTTTACTGTAAAGGAGGATTATTTTATTTTTACCTACAAATCAGATTCTGCTGTGGAGCCACAACAGGGCAGTGAAAGAGCTGCATGTTACCGACCCCTGGTTTAGACAATCAACAACAACATGGAATTTGACCTGGGTTGACTAGACCAGGGTCAACTTTTGCACATGACTGTGTGGTCACCTTGAGTAAAATAATTACAGTAAAATCAGCTCACTTTAAAGCATCATAGAGTTTAAAGATAAAAATCATAATATAAGACTAGGCTGATAAGATTTTAGTATCGGAACAGAAAAAGTGGCATCATCTCTACCAAACACCTTTCTCTAAAACTACTAACGCAGATGTACACACACTACACTCTTCAAAAAGATGGTTCTTCAAGGGTTCTTTAGTAAAGAAAACATTTCTGTATAGAACCATAAACATTCAAAGAACGCTTTGCATAATTAAGGGTTTCTTTGCATCATGAAAGTGTCCTTTGGATTGATGGAGAATATGTGATATATTTTCGAAAAGGGTTCTATATGGCACCAAAAAGGGTTCTGCTTTTGTTTGACACTGTCACAGCAGCAGAACCCTTTTAAAAATAAATTCTATATAGAATATACATCACATTCTACGTCATCCTGAAGAACCATTTCACAATGCAAAGAACCCTTTAATCATGCAAAGGGCTCTTTGACTGTCCATGATTCACCAAAACAGCTATTAGATAATAACTTTGTCCATATAGAACCATTTTCTTTACTAAAGAACCCTTTGAAGGACGATCTTTTTTAAAAGTGTACACCGCACTAACCATCGAAAGTCAAACGCTTCCAAGCTGGATTTTCACTCTTACTTCTCTATTAAGTAATTTAAAGTGTTTCAGCTATCCCCAAGCATCTCTGTGCTGATCCTGTGGGTATATTTATCTTTTCTAAACTACAGAACATATTAGAACTCCTCTGGGCCTAAAACTGGTCTAAATACCTGAAAGGTTTGAGTGTTGACATCACAACAAGGTGATAAAATGCACGGCATTTGGCTTTATTCTCAAAGAGAAAGCTTTCATCACGTGTTAAATATGTTAAGTTTGTGAGCAAACCCACGAAGAAAACGTGCTCATTGGTACTAGGTGTCGTCTATCAGGGTGAAAACAGGGCAGACTCTGTGCAGTGATGTGCAGGATGTGGAGTATCTGCTGTTAACAGAGCTGATAAGAGCTGCAGCCCAACAGCTGCGTAGAAGCCTCACAGCCAGCGGGACAGAGCTCTGCTATTTCTGATTATTTTTGGAAAAAGATAAAGGGGTAAAAGAGCCCAGAAACAGCAACAATGGCGAGTGACGAAAGCTCAGATGTGCTCTATCAGGTGCTGTTTTTAAACTCACTGTACAAAACGTTCTGACATGCTGACATGTTCTGTCACACGAGGCGTTTTCAAGGCAAAAATGGGCCGAGCGAGGCGGCCAAAGAGTTCAGGAATGTGATGAGTGTTTGTGTTTGAGACGGAACGATATCACTTTTCCTTCTCCGATATCGATACCGAAACCTTCAGATTAAAACCTGTCAGGGCTGGACTGATATAAATACCGATACCGATACTGATTTCAAGAGGGTTAAGAATTCTGATAACCAATATTATCAGAAAGTCTTAATTTAGATTTAGATTTATATGTTATACTCTTTAAAAGAGACTGTCAGCTCTCAAATGTAACACGTGTTAAATACAAATATAAATAAAAATAATGCGTGGCAACGACTTAGTAAGGCAGGGAAACAAGATAATTAAATAGTGGTCACGACTTAGTAAGGCATGAGAATGAGATGATTAAGCCTTAACCACAGTTTAACAAGGCATGATCTCATTCCCATGCCTTACTAAGTTGTGGCCACGACTTAATTATCTCGTTCCCACTCATTATTTTTACTATTACGGGATGTCACCAGCAGGGCTCCATACAAACAGCAGTGTCAATCTAGTAGTGGTGGGCGGAGCCACTCAGAATTCTCTGCAGGTTTGCTTTATGTTATTTACCTCTTATCTTTCGTCTTTTTCAATAGTTCTCTTTATAACAGAAGTGGTTATGACACGTTCTGCTGTTAATAAAGGTGAGGTTTGGTTACATTTTATGTACATGTTTTTGGTACCACTATATAACAAGACTATATAATCTGACTTAATTAGGTCATAAAGAGCTTAACAATCATTAACAAGCAGGTGCAACACATAAATAAGAAGGACAAGAGTGGTTTGCCAAATAGTGAGCCCACATTGATCCACAGGGTTAAACCTCAGATCTTGCTGGTTACTGATCTCACTTTGTCTTCCCCATCAAACCTGTCAGCTTCATCACATATTCATATCATCTACATACATAATACAGATAAATGTGTATAACAGGTCACTGATGCCTTTTTACCTGTGTGTTATAACTGCTTATTGATGATTTTCATAACGGCCTAATAAATAACCATTAACAAGCTTACTTTAAACCATTCCTAAACGCTTTATAAGGGTGGTCTTATTATAAAGCAGTACCTGTTATGGCTATTTTACCATAGGAAAGTAAGTACACCACTCAAAGAACCCTTTTTTTGGCGCTATATAGAACCCTTTTCAAAAAAGTTCTATACAGAACCATCTTCAGCACATTTTCCATCAATCTGAAGAACCATTTCACGATGCAAAGAACCCTTTAATCATGCAAAGGCTCTTTGAGTGTTCATGGTTCTATATAGAACCATTTTCTTTTGTAAAGAACCCTTGAAGAACCACGTTTTTTAAGAGTGTATATAACATTTTCCATATTGTTTAGAGTTTTAATACAGTTTCATAGTTTTGACCCAACCAAAAAAAGGTGATATTTTTCACTGATATCAATAAAATCGCGGGTTATGAATATCAGCCAATGTTATCGGCCAATCGATATATCGGTCAGGCTCTAAAAAACGACTAATGTTCTAAAATGAGCTTCCTTTTTAATTCATGCATCTAAGCTGTGCATCTAAAGGAAGAAATGCACAGCTAACAACACTTACAGATAAAAAATAAATAAAAACTTCAGCTTTTTATTCAGGCAACTATTTCACAAAAAACGCAAATGTGTGTAAAACCAGAATGAGCAAATAAATAAACTGTCATACTAGCATAAAATAAGTATAATATAAAATAGCTACGCTGTTCTTATGTTATGTGTAATGTGTAAGCAGCTACTGCTGTACTTTGCTTTACATTATGTTGTACTATAAAGATCCCGCAATCTTTCAGGCGAGATCTGTTACAGATTCTGACCAGATTCAATCTTTTTTCCTCTGAAATGTGATCCAGTATCTACTGAGAGTCAGATCAGCGTCATGTCCAGTGTATGAGTTATGACAGGGGACTGAATGGCCTACCATAACCATGGCGATGTCCTCAGGGCTATCTCCATCAAGGTCAAACTTGAAGGTGACCATCTTATCATTGTGAGTCTGTAGCTGGCACTCCACCACGCGGTCCACTTTATCAGACAGCTAAAGACAGGAGAACAAAGTTTCTCACTCATACAGTCCTGTGTTGAAGTTCTAGGCACAACAGGCATGTAAAACTATTTATTTTTACCAGTAAAACACCACATATCATTAGAGTACATGCAAATAAACATAAATATAGTAAAAAGAAATTCTGACTTAGAAAAAAGCAGGTAGTTTGAAAAGGCCTGACATGACCATGAATTTTTAACTGATGTCTGTATGTCATGTAAGTAACCACGATTAACAATTTGTCTTTTACATAGTTAACCAATATTACTTGCGCTGCCCTCTAAACTTGTCAGAGCACCAAGTTCAAAGTTAGGACTCATGATGCGTCTCAGTGAACGCATTTACCGCTTTCTCTTATTTACACTAATTTGCCTCAACAAACCCAGTGCTTTCCTGGCCTAATATGACTGTGAAACGATTTCTGGAAAACAAGCCAGTTTAAATAATTCCAGTCATCCCAAATAACTGCGATTATGCAATTATGTAACAACTGTGACAGGCCTCATTTTGAAGAGAAGTTTGGTTCCAGCTTTCTCCTGGAAACAACAGGCATCATGCCATTTTATCAGCAGCTCGCCTGATTTAAACTGACGAACTACTGATTAACCAAAACAGCTATTAGATGATAACTTTAATTAACTACAGGCCTGAAAAGAGTAACATTACAATACTTTACAACGTACTCACGATGATGATGCACATCATGATATTTTATTTTTCTGAGGTTTGATGAGCTGAAACGGGTTTAAGGCTTAATGCATCAGTGCGTCAGTAACATTCAATTATGCTCTTATGGACATCTCACCAAATTTCTCAACAATATGTGTTAAATGATACACATATTTTCAGTTTAAATGTAATTTTTGATTCTAAAGTCAAGATTTTATTTGATTTCTGATATTTTCTGTCATAAAAATCGTCTATAGGGCTCTAATTGTATCCTACACAGATTAATTTGGTTCAAATAAATAAACTCGATGCGAATGAGGCGAATCTTTAACCCATTCATGCCCAGCAACTATACTTGGTATAGCAAGGAAAAACACCTTGACCTTGTTCTGACTGTGCTAAGAATGGTCCACCACACCTATTAGATCTAGCCACTGGGGGTCCCTATGGTGGTCCATTTCCTTTGACAGACTGTGTAGAGGGGGGCTAATACACTGTGCAGTAACAGATGGGCTACAGTTTATATGTGCACACCTACAAAGTGAAGCCATACGGTACGTGTTTCTGATAAAATGGCCACTTTCTAATGATAGAGATGAAAGGACAAGTGGACAAACGAATGAACGGACTCATGGATTCATACCCCTGTGATGCGCAGACGGGCCCGCGCTCTCCTCCTGAACAGCTTCCCAGCCGTTCGTCGAGCGGCCGACTTGCTGGCGATCTCTGATTGGCCCTCGCAGCCGTCACTCAAGCCTGAGGTCACGTCTGAGGCGTAGCTGTGGAGATTTCACACAACTTCATTAGAGAAGCAAACAAGACACGCTTTTTTGACATGCAGCACTGTGCAAAAGTCAGTATCAGGAACTAAGCAGAAAAAATATTAACCACAAAATTAAACAGAACTAAATATAATATCAAATTGTTCAGTATTTAGTGTGTCCAGCCTTCCGTTCTTTTTGGAGGAGGGGTGGTTTTTTTTCCCACACTTCCAAAGTTCAGTCTTAGAAGCTGGTTGAACACTGCAAGTAAACCCAAACACATTCGGACTCTGTGGTGGTCAGTCCATTGTTTCAAGGATGTTTTCAGATCTGAAGCAGCTTGATTTTCTCCTCTCTTTCAAAGATGAAAGCTTTAAGTGCTGTTTATCTGTTTTGGTGTCTACCAGGTGGTTGTTAGGATCCACATTTTTTCTGTAGCTTTCAATCATGTTTCGAACCCCAGTTTTGGAAACTCTTGTTTTTTTGCGCTCTTTAAGCAGGTGAATAGTAGCCACGTTTACATGCAGCCTGATAATCCATTAATAATAGGACTAATAGCTCAATCGGAATAAAACACGTTCATGTCTCAACACCTCAGTCTGATTGAGGCCATTCAAAATACAATTTCTATCCTCCGTGGCTCGAGGTGGGTAATCCTGTAAATAATCTGTTAAATAGAAGAATAATATCCGTGTAAACGCCTGTATCTGATTACATTCTCTATCGGAAAGTTTAAGTCCGTTCTGATCATGTTCGTCACGTCATAGTGAAAGTTTATACCGTTCAACATGGTGGAGCAGAAACTGGTCTGCAGAGGAGACGAAGTTTATGCTCTGATCTTTAAAAGACGGCGGTGGGACGGACGTCCAGCTTATGTGTCTCAGAACACGACGTCTTCCTCTCGGCCTTCTTTAATAAGGACATGTGAAGGACGTTTTCCTGAGTCTGACATCATTTTAAAGTAATTAAAAACACAAGCGCTGCTCACTGCTGCTCGTCTCACTCTGACTGGACTCATGTGATGCTGGTTGGCATGGTAACATCTGCACTAAGCAGTTCTCTGCACATGCGCGTAAGTTTGGATCAGATTACTTGTAGTGAGCATGTAAACAGAGATTTTCATCAGATTGTTGAGTAGAGTGAGAATAAACAACTCAGTCTGAATCTATAATCGGAATGAATTTAGTCGGACTGGCAGATGTCTTTGCATGTAAACACAGACACTGTTCCATCCATAACATAACAAAATCAGAACTGATCTCTTGCAAGCACACACTCTAGTAACAGTGAGAGGAATTAGCTGGATCCCAAAAGGCCCTCACTGGACAGGAGTTTGGTCAAACCCTAGCCTTAAAGGCTTTAAGAGCAGTGAAGAAGGGCGTGTGCAGCTTTCTCCTTTCCTGATTGGCGGTTTCTCCCATGCGACAGGGCAGAGGTCCACTACAGTGGGAGTGGGCTATAACTAATTTCAGCAAATATAAAAACGTCCAAGGAATTCCTGCCATTCTTTACAGCCTTGCTTGGGTAATATCAGGCTTTTAATGACTGTTTTGTTCCTCCTGTAATAAAGTTTTACTAGTTTTAAGAAAACAAACTTTCTCCATTTCACTCATCAGCTCAGCTTTTTTATACAGCTCTTGCTTCAGAGGTATAAATATGTGCACACAATTCTTCTGGATAGTCTGGCCACAATTAGCGTATGATACCATTCCTTGCAAAACAAGAATATAACTGCAAAAAAAGAAGAAAAGTGTTTGAGTTGGCAGGATACAGGTCTGTGCTTTCAGGCCCTAAAAACACTGTTTGGCTTAAGAGTGCTGTGGTTATAGAGCTCGTTGTGAAAGCGCCTCGGAAAGCTAATTGTGTCTCACAGGTCTTTCAGCACGCTAGACACCGCAGCATCCAAACCCTCGGCCTCCTACAAGGCACATAAACATTTATGGGCAGCCTACTGCTTGGCAAACTCTGATCCGTGCTTTAAAAACCCCTGCCTGCTGAGGTACGCGTGTTTTTGAGGCTGGATTTAACAAGCCGCGAGCGGAATGTGTTGCGTTATGAAAGATGAGAGGAGGAGAAGCCCAGAGGACAATGTGATCTCCTGCCAGGGCGATTGACTCACAGTCGCAGGCATGCACCCCCGAGGGGGAGCGAAGCTGTTCTTTTCAGAAGTGAACCGTGTGCTCCGCAGTACGTTCGATGGCCAATCTAAACACAGCGCTCTCGGTGCTTTGTGTGAGGACAAACAGGGTTCCACGGCTGACTTTGATATGAGGCTCTGTGGGTGGCTTTAGTGGCCCAGATGTGGTGAAAGCTAAGCTGAGGGCTTTTTCTTACCTGTCCACGGGCGACGAGAACGGACTTGGAGGCCCCGACACTCCTTTGTCAAAGTTATTAGTCACAGCGATGCTCTGAGGACGGGATTAGAAAAAGGTTCTTCAGTGATTAAAGGAATATTCAAGCGTTTGTCAACTTAGTCTCTATCTGCTGCATCTGTAGCGCACGATCGATTACTACGGGCATTTCCTGTATTTAAAAAAGAAAACCTGACCTGAAGAACACCTACACTCTTAAAAAAGACGGTTCTTCAAAGGTTCTTTAGTAAAGAAAATGGTTCTACAGAGAATCATAAACACTCAAAAAACCCTTTGCATGAGTGAAATTGTTCTTTGTATTGATGGAGAACGTGTTGCATATGGTTCTATGTAGAAGCTTTTTGAAAAGGGTTCTATATAGCATCAAAAAGGGTTCTTCTACTGTAACAACAGCAGAACCCTTTTCGGTGCTATACATAACCCTTTTCAAAAACCTTTTTGATGCTACACTCTTTCAAAAAATGGTGCTTTAAAGGTTCTTTAGTAAAGAAAATGAACACTCAAAGAACCTTTGCATGATTAAAGGGTTCTATGCATGAGTGAAATGGTTCTGCATATTGATGGAGAATGTGTTGCATATAGTTCTATGTAGCACCTTTTTGAAGGGTTCTATATAGCACTCAAAAGGGTTCTTCTACTGTTACAATGTCAAGCTTGTAACAATAGCAGAACCCTTTTTGGTGCTATATATAGAACTCTTTTCAAAAAGGGGCTATATTAAACCTTTTTGATGCTATACTCTTTAAAAAAATGGCGTTTCATAGGTTCTTTAGTAAAGAAAATGGTTCTATAAAGAACCATATATTCTCAAAGAACCTCTTGCATGATTAAAGGGTTCATTGCATCATGAAAGGGTTCTTTGGATTGATGGAAAATGTGCAAGAATGTGCTACAGATGGTTCTACATAGAACCTTTTTGAAAAGGGTTCTAGATAGCGCCCAAAAGGGTTCTTCTATCGTTAAAAGCTTGACACCATAACAACAGAAGAACCCATTTGGGTGCTACATATAACCATTTTCAAAAAGGTTTAACAATGCAAAGGGTTCTTTGAGTGTTCGAGGTTCTATACAGAACCATTTTCTTTACTAAAGAACCCTTGAAGCACCATTTTAAGAGTGTACAATAAATGCCAACTGGAAGGTCCTACAGCTTCTGCCCACCAACTTCTATTAGAGCCAAATGATTTTTATGTGCTTTTCTATGTACAGAAAACTGTATCCACATTACTGTCTGTGGAAACTGACCACATCCTACACTTTTAAAAAAGACGGTTCTTCAAGGGTTCTTTAGTAAAGACAATGGCTCTATGTAAACCATGAACACTCAAAGAACGATTTGCATGCTTAAAGAGTTTTTTGCATGGTTCTTCAGATGGATGGTGTTGTATATAGTTCTATATAGAACTATAGAACACATTCTACATTAATCTGAAGAATCATTTCAGCATGAAAAGAACCATTTAAGCATGCAAATGGTTCTGAGAGTTCGTGGTTCTAGATAGAACCATTGTCTTCACTAAAGAATCCTTGAAGAACCATCTTTTTTAAAGGGTGTACAGATGCAGCAGATGGAGATTACAAGATTACACTGAAAAACACTGGAGAACTTCTTTAACACTTCTCATTACATCTATTACAGTCTTGGTCAAAAGCAATTACAGCTGCATTATAAGCAGAATACTTAGAAAAAGCAGCCACGGCTAAACACGAAATTCCATTACCATACATACGATTCGTCGGTGACACAACCAAACCTTGTATTTCCAAAAAGTTCTTAACTTTGAATGGAATTTAACAGAACAAGACTTTCTTCCATTTTGACCATTTCTAGTGGTCCATTCATCAGGAAACTTCAAACTTCAACTTCAATTTTGAGAAAAAAAGAAGAGGCAAGACCTTGTAAGTATTCCCGAAAGTATTCTACTAAAAATGTAAAAGGTAACTGTCGAGTCACATTATTATGACCACCAGCTAATATCCAGAGTAACCGCCGTGTGCAGCACAGACAGCAGCCAGACGGGCTGGGAGTGACTCTATAAGGTCCTGGTAGGTTGTCACTGTATCTGGAGCCAGGCTGACTGCAGTGCATCCCACAGCTGCTGGTGCGTGGGGGAGGGTCCCTAGAGCGAACACAACGATCGAGGTGGTCCCACACATGCTCAACTAGGGTTCATGGGCAGTCGTGAGCTGGAGGTTAGGGAACCAGCCCTGTGACCGGAAGGTCGCCGGTTCGATCCCCCGAGCCGACAGTACGTGACTGAAGTGCCCTTGAGCAAGGCACCTAACCCCCAACTGCTCCCTGGGCGCTGCGGATAGGACTGCCCACCGCTCTGGGCAAGTGTGCTCACTGCCCCCTAGTGTGTGTGTTCACTAGTGTGTATGTGGTGTTTGACTGCACGGATGGGTCAAATGTGGAGGTGAAATTTCCCCATTGTGGGACTAATAAGGGTCAATTAATCTTAATAAAGAGTCTGGGGAATTAGGGGGCTGTACTTGGAAGGCTTGGTCATGCTCTTCCAACCAATGCAACCAGGGAAGACGATCAGCATGTATGGGTGTACGTGATCTGCAAGGACGGATTCATATCGGGTGAGAATACCTTCCCGATGAGTGGGCCACGTAAACATTCCCCAGACCATAACGCTGCCACCACCAGCTTGTGGACATGAAGTGGTCATAATAATGTGACTCGACTGCGTATATTGCTTTTACAAAATGTAACGTACTAAATATAGATACCTAATTTCTGATGCTGAGCTAAATGTCTTGCGGTCTCTGTGAAAGGTATGTTCTCAAAAGCGCTCACCGAAGAAAAGCGCAGAGCCGGAACTGGAGGGATGTGGATGGATGTGGCCGTAGTGGGTGTGGCCACAGAACTGGGCACAACAGGGGGGCTGTTCATGATACCGTTAGCAACCTCGAGTCCATCCTGAAAGCTTGAGGGACTGAGATAGCCGTCTGTCTCGCAATCAGCTGGAGAGAGAGAGAACACAGAACACATGACAAACGAAAGATATTATCTACAGTGAAAGTTCAGTTAAAAAACCTAATTTACACAGTTTTAACCTAATGAGGTAAACATGTTTAGTGTCTGACGTTTTAGCACCTGAGCTACGAGGCTAATCTAGCTAATATATAATGGAAGAGCATGTACACCAATTCCAATTAGCATGGTGCTAACTGCATGCCTCAATCATCACACACTCGTTCATACTCGTTGTTCAGCACACTCTTAAAAAGGATGGTTCTCCAAGGGTTCTTCAGTAAAGAAAATAGTTCTATATAGAACCATGAACACTCAAAGAACCCTTTGCATGATTAAATGGTTCTTCAGATTGATGGAGAATGTGCTGTAGATGGTTCTATATAGAACCTTTTTGAAAATGCTTCTATATAGCACCTAAAAGCGTTCTTCAATTGTTACGGTGTCAAGCTTGTAACAATAGGAGAACTCTTTTGGGTGCTATATTGATCCCTTTTCAAAACGGTTCTATACAGAACCATCTACAGCACATTCATGCACATTTTCCATCAATCCGAAGAACGCTTTAATCATGCAAAGGGTTCTTTCAGTGTTTATAGTTCTATTTAGAACCACTTTCTTTACTAAAGAACCCTTGAAGCACCATCATTTTTTAGAGTGTATGATTCACTGTTATCTATAAACTTGGACTAAAGTTCATTAGAAAGCACAGCATAGAGAAGAAACTAATTTCAGACAGCAAACTTGTCTTGGCCAACTGACTACATTTGGGGTAATTTAGAGGATTTTCATTTTTTGGCCCAAAACAGACATACAGTCATGTGCAAAAGTTTAGGCACCCCAGATGAATTACATAGTTTTTCTAATTGCAAACAAGTTATCGCGTTTTACAAGGAGCACAATATGGCATTTTTCTGCAAATGTTAGTGCAAAATTTAGATTTATTTGCTGAATTTAACATACTGGGGGGTGAATAATAAAAAAATAAATAAACGGAAGAGCACTCAATTATTAAAATTTGCATTGTTTTTTTTTTCCCGAAGAGGAAATAACTTATTGTCACTCCAGCAAAACATGTGATTGGACCAAGGGTGTCCCAACTTTTGCACTCGGCACATTTCATATTTAATTTTTTTGTCCAAAATATGTCAGATTCAGCAAATAAACAGTAACTGTGCATTACAATCATGAAGCGTGTTCCTTCCAAGGGATGTGTCTAATTTTTTTCACGTCAGCAAAACATGTCATTTGACCGGGGGTGCCAAAACTTTTTCACAAGACTAGCACAGAGGCTAAAAGGTGGTAGAACCAGTATCACTTATCGCTAAACCCCACTTAACCTGAACATAGGAAACTCCTTTCAGGTGGTCAGAGCACTTTTGAAAGCAGCACTGTTCTGAGCGAGAGGTCTAACTGAGGCATTGTGTTCGCTCGCAGTCGCTGTTCACTCACTCAAACCTGTCTTTCCTCTCGCCGGCTCCAAAAGACTGCGTGTACCCGCAGCGGAGAGGCTGACATGAGGCCAGGAGGGAGTGAATTATTGAGTTAATCTCCCCGTTCAGGTTTCTCCACCGCATTCTCCACGCATACATTATCATCAGGCCGACCAACCCAGCATGACCACCAGGCGCACAAACGTATAGACAGTTTACGAGGTGAGGTCAGTCGACGGCTGGCTCTCTGCACTATTAGAGCTGCTGGTGAGGACACCAGGTAAGGAGGTTTCACACATACAGTCCGCGGAAAGCTGACTGTACTACTGTGCCGAGGCTCTGAATGCTGAGAGGTGTTGCTTATATATATGTATGACTTCACCTCAAACAAAGTAAATCATTTACTACACAGGCTGATTAACGGATTTAACACACAGCATGGTGCTACCATAAAATTGCGACTACCAGTCAAGATACAGTAGCATTGGAGTGTTTGCAGATACAGTGGCCCCCAAAAGTATTTGGACAAGGGATGTGCATTCTGACTCATTTTCACATTCGAGTATCTGTAAGAGTTCATGAATGGATGCCCGGTTAACCACAGGAAAGGAGAAACTATGCTAAAAATGGCCAACAATAATGCAGGGCTGTAGGGTTAACTTCCCAGGTGGCAGCACTGGTGTTGCACAAAAATACAGCAGTACACAGAGGAACATGTGTCATTATTTCAACATAGCTGGTAGGTTTTTGTGTTGGGTGAGTAACAGAGGCTGCCTCTTCAGATGGGCTAATGAGCTAACACAGCTAACAAGGACGATAAGTGTCTCCTCGGATGCTGATGAGGACTTGTCATCCTCTACATGAGGTCTTTTCTCCTCAGTGGACAATATGCCAACATTTGTCAGAGAAATATATCTTCATTGTTTCTGGACCTAGTTGACATCAGCTAGAGTAGCGAGCCTAGTCAGCTATACAGCTGCGCTAACTCCTCTCAGCCACATCCTCAACACATTTTTGGCAACGCACTCAGGTTCAGGCGCTTGTCTTTCAGAGTAGTAAAGTATATCATATTTGCAAATAAAAGCAAAAACCTAGTACCTGAATAGTGATTTCAGTATTAGTATAGAGCGGTTAATCGAGTACCTAAGTACCGTAATTGGGACACTTTTCCCATCTGACAATTGCTAAACTTATTTCATGAAATGCCGAAGAAAATGATATTTGTTTCATAGAAAAGCACATTTAGCACACCATCAGTCTGATGGAGAAAACCAGCAAAGCCTGGGGCTGTTTTTCCTACAATGCTGAGCTCAGAAGAGTCCAAATACATTTTGAACGCAAACCTACAGACGTCTGCAAAGAAGTAATTATCTGAAATTCACCAGCCATACTTTGAAAGAACTTTGTCTCTGAAGAAAATGACAGTGTGGGAATTGTCTGTTTTAAAGTAAATTCCATACGGTTTAACATCTTGTTTCAGAATTCATAAAATCGCTTTGAATGAGCCGGAGGTCACTATGTGCAATACCAAGCGTCAGCTAGAGGGGTGTAAAGCCCCCCCAGCATTGGGCTGTGGAGTAGTGGAACTGTGTTCTCCAGAGTGATGGAGCTCCATCCAATACCTTTGGGATAAGCTGGAGTGATCCAGAACTGACCACCCAACATCAGTACCTGACCTCACTAATGCTCAATCAAATCCTCACAGCAATGTTCCAATATCTAAAGCCTTCCCAGAAGAGTAGAGGCTTTTACTGCAGCACAGACTCACTATTAACACCTTCATTTCAGAAGAATTGTTGAAAGGCAGGCACTTTTGATGTCTATTCTAAGGTCTAGATTACATAATCTGTCATTCAGTCAATCTAACACCTTTTAACTCTAATGCTATCTGAATGTAACGTTGCTCACAGGTTACTGAGGAGTAGCTGGTGTGGCTGAAGTGGAAGTGCTGGTCAGCTTCTGGTTCTTCCGGCTCTGGTGGGAAGCCCCTGTTGATGCTGTAGTCTGGGGAGTTCACAGGAGAGACAGAGGGGGGCTCCGGGAGCAACGGAGTGGGCGGGATCTGAACAGGGGAGGAGACGGGGCTTTCGAGGGCTCGGCTAACGGGCTTGGGCGAGGGCAGCTCAGGCTCCTCCTCGATGGCCTCCACCTGCTTCCTCTTCTTCTCCTCCTCAGCCAGCCGCCGCTGCCGCTGCCGCTTGATGGCCGTCACCCGGTCTCGCATCGCCTTGGCCACCAACTTGTAGTCCGCCTCGCATACAAATCCCAGGACCACCTAGGAGAGGAGACGGAAGATGTACAATAAGTGTCGTGATCACTGGAATTGAACACAAGTTCACATGAACACTGCTTTGTGTCGGAATTACAAGCAGAAGCTTTGTAAAGAATTTTGATAAGTTGGGTTTCAATTATGTTATTTTATTATTGACCAATCATGGCAGCGCAAAGTTCCAGTGTTTAACTGTAGATAACTTGTAGATAATGGAACTTATTTATAGTAGTGAAGAGAAGGCAGCATATGTCAGAGACCACTCTCCACATATTTCACTTCCAGTCGAAATGACCACTAAGTACAAATTATTAATTTTTCAGGAGATGTTTCTCAGGAGATTAGACAGAAGACAACTTGCATAACGAGGAGAAAGTCAAAGGAAAACAAGTCTCCAAAACTGGAGTTCAAAAACTGATTAAAAGCTACAGAGAAAATGTGATTCCTAACAGCCACCTGGAAGACCCTGGTCGACCCCAAAACTGCCCCCATCAGATAAACAGCACTTAAAGCTTTCATCTCTGAGAGAGAGGAGAAAATCAAGCTGCTTCAGATCTGAAAACATCCACAGGTGTTTCTGTCCATCCTTCCACTGTGAGAAGACGACTCAGCGCTGTGGGTCTGAAAGGATGTGTAGCTGATCAAGAAGAACCTCACTGAGAAAAGGAGACGGACACATCAAACAAAGAAGCTGACCGATGGACTGACCACCCCAGAGTCCAGACCTCAACACCACTGAATGTGTTTGATCACTTCAGAAAACAATCAACCAGCTTCTAAGACTGAACTTTGGAGGTGTGTCTGCAGATTCTTTGAGGAACTGAAAGTGAGGCTCCTGAAAAGAATGGAAGTTGGAATAAAGGTGTTTGCTTGTTTTTGAAAAATGAATAACTTGTATTTTTTGACTAAAAACAAGATAGATAAAGGGTCATAGCACTGTATATCATATCAGCCTGGAAATTTCCACTTTTGTTTTGAGTTAAAAATTGAGAACTGCCAGTCACATCAGCCAGTAAAGCACTGTTTAATTAAAACTATTGGAGTATTGAATTAAAATCTAAAATCTGAATTTCTGAAATTTAGAAATGGGCCAATATTACGTGTTATTAGAACTTTTAGCCCCTCATTATCAGTATTGGCCACAAAGTTCTTGCTCTACTACATCTACTAGTCTACAAAAGACAATATAGTGTCTAATAGTGTCTAAGTGTACATAGAAAAAAGACGTTTCTTCAAGAGTTCTTTACTAAAGAAAATGGTTCTATATAGAACCAAGAGCATTCAAAGAACCATTTGTGTGATTACAGCATTCTTTGCATGGTGAAATCGTTCTTCAGATTGACGGAGAACATGGTGTATACAGTTCTATATAGAAGCTTTTTGAAAAGGGTTCTGATTCAACAGTTATTCAGTGCCCATTTTTTGCCATTGTAGTTTTGGCATATTTTGAACAAACAATGGCCAGTCGGGGTCAGGGCAAAACGTTAAGTAAAAATTAAATATAAACACAGCTGGCCCACGGACGGAGATTTTTAAATATGGCCCTTTTAGTAGCTGAATTTGACACCCCTGATCTACAGCGTCCTCAGCATATTTATGCCTCCATGCGCCCTTTCCTGAGCTTCCTCACGAACGATGTAGGCCAAGGTCACCCGTCCCGGATCGTCCATCAGCACCTCGGCCAGCCAGATTAAGGCGATAACCCAAAGTCCATCAGCAAATTCGCTCTTGATGAAAAGTGCATGTGATGTGAGAGAAAGGAAGGATTGTGGAAGTTTGGGATAATTAAGAGGAGCTCAGCGCGGCCCGAAGGACGAAGAGGGAGGGAGATGTTTTGGAATACGCGTCTGAAGTCATTTTATCATCAGGCATGTGACCTCCTCTTCCTCCTGAGTCCTGCCTCTCGGATTACCAGAGCGATGAATAAACCGCCCGGCCGCGTCCTTGAGCGCTGTTACGCAATCGAGGCGGCTGTCGGGGGCAGCAGGCTTTGCACCTCTGCTTTAAGAAGGAGGCTGTAAATGCTAATGGGTAGGTTCCACGATATTAAGAGAGGGGTCCTACTGAGGAGACGTTCCACCGATAAACTTTAGCATATGTGGTTTTAATGGACTTTGGGCCTGAGGGGTTCAGAGACTGCCCTTTAATTATTAACACAGGAAGAGTGGCTGATGTGGGCTGAGTGAAGACAGACAGACATGATGAGGGAGACCTGAGAGGACAGAGGCTTTGTTTATCAGCCTTTCCACAGACCCACAACTCCATGACCGACAAGCCTGTCTTACCATTCTGCAGATTCAGGTTTAGAAATGATAACGAACTGCTGTCAGAGTACATTTATATCTCCAACAATCAGCTGCTCCCCCGTTTAACCCCGAACGTGGTTGATCAGCGAGGACGTGTTTGGCGTCTGAAGTTTGCTTCGTTGGTTTTAGCACTGGAGCTACAGGGCTAACGCAGCTAAAAAGAATGGAAGCTTATGAGCACGAATTAGCATTACACACATTACATACATTCGTCCTTATTTACAGTTATATTTAATAACAGCTGAGGATTTCAATACAATACTGAAAAATCAATCAATGAACGCTGGAAACTCTGATTTATGGGGTTCATTTTGTTGTTTGTTACACTGTTTAAACTGCACTTTTAAAAAAGATGGTTCTTAAAGGGTTCTTTAGTAAAGACAATGGATCTGTAAAGAACCATGAACATTCAAAGAACACTTTGCATGCTTGAAGGGTTCTCTGCACGGTGAAGTTCGTCAGATTGATGGAGAATGTGTTGTATATGGTTCTATATAGCACCAAAAAGGGTTCTTCAGGCTTGACATAGTAACAATAGCAGAACACTTTTTGTTCCACACTCTTAAAAAAGATGGTGCTTCAAGGGTTTTTTAGTAAAGGAAATGGTTCTATAGAGAACCATGAACACTCAAAGAACCCTTTCCACGATTAAAGTGTTCTTTGCATCATGAAAGGGTTCTTCAGACTGATGAAATTTTTCATGAATGTGCTATAGATGGTTCTATATAGAACTTTTTTCTGAAAAGGGTTCTATATAGCACCCAAAAGCGTCCTTTTATTTTTACAAGCATGACATCGTAACAATAGAGGAAGCTTTTTGGGTGCTATATAGAACCAATTTCAAAAAGGTTCTATATAGAACCATCTACAACACATTTTCCATTAGTCTGAAGAAACATTTCATGATGCAAAGAACCCTTTAAATCATGCAAAAGGTTCTTTGAGTGTTCATGGTCCAATATAGAACCATTTTCTTTACTAAGAACTGTTGAAGCACCATCTTTTTTAAGAGTGTATAGAGAACCCTTTTTAAAAAGGTTCCATTTAGAACCATATACAACACATTCTCCATGTCAATCTGAAGAACGATTTCACCACGCAAAGAACCTTTAAGTATGCAAATGGTTCTTTGAGTGTTCATGGTTCTATACTTCCATTGTCTTTACTAAAGAACCATCTTTTAGAGTGTAGTTATAGGTATATATATATATATATATATATATATATATATATAAATATACACACCTGTAACCCCTGTAAGCAGACATGAACACTACGTAGACGTTGAGCTGCATCTCTAACGCTTACCATCTCCTGCGCGACCTCCTCAGGGACGTCCTTGTAGAGCTCGAACAGGAACTCGATGGCGTTGTTGTCCTTGTACTTGCCGTGAAGCTTCTTGGTGTCGTCCATGCGCAGCCACAGCTTCAAGCTGGACTTCTCCATGTCGTCCTCCTCGGCCAGCTCCACGTGGACACCATTGTGCTCCTGGAAGAACGTGTGCTCCAGCAGGTCCTGTATGGTGTACCTGACCATGGAGACGAATATGAATTAAAGAGAGAATCAAATTCTCCTGAAAGCCATTTGTCTGAGATGGCATGGCCTTTTTTTGTTGTTGGTTTGGTTGGAGGCTGAACTCGAAGTGCTGCTGGACGACAAGATTGATATTATGTGGAAATATCGTCTTACAAATGTAATTAGAGCCACATAGATTGTTATCTTGGAGGAAAAATGCTTGCTGTCATGTATGTGAGCACATGAATCAAACTAATTCAATTGTAAAATCAAGCACAACATTTCAGAATAATCTCATTACTCGGCAGTTAGCTCGAACAAACGGATGGCTATACATATGTAGCCCCGACTTTTGCACAGTACTATGTATACACACCGATCAGGCATAACATCATGACCACCTCCTTCAGCTCCACTTACTATATAGGTGCACTTTGTGGTTCTACAGTTACAGACTGTAGTCCATCTGTTTCTCTGATACTTTGTTAGCCCCCTTTTACCCTGTTCTTCAGTGGCCAGGACCCCCATGGACCATGGTCACTGCTGGACTGAGAATAGTCCACCAACCAAAAACATCCAGCCAACAGCGTCCTGTGGGCAGCGTCCTGTGACCACTGATGAAGGACTAGAGGATGACCAACACAAACTGTGCAGCAGCAGATGAGCTATCGTCTCTGACTTTACATCTACAAGGTGGACCGACAAGGTAGGAGTGTCTAATAGAGTGGACAGTGAGTGGACACAATGTTTAAAGACTCCAGCAGCACTGCTGTGTCTGATCCACTCGTACCAGCGCAACACACACTAACACACCACCACCACGTCAGTCACACTGCAGTGCTGAGAATGATCCACCACCCAAATAGTACCTGCTCTGTGAGGGTCCATGGGGGTCCTGACCACTGAAGAACAGGGTAAAAGGGGGCTAACAAAGTATCAGAGAAACAGATGGACTACAGTCTGTAACTGTAGAACTACAAAGTGCACCTATATAGTAAGTGGAGCTGATAAAATGGACAATCAGCGTAGAAACAAGGAGGTAGTCATAATGTTATGCCTGACCGGTGTAAATATCCAGACTGATGACAGTCTAAACACATTTGCTGAGTTGCAATAAAAAGTTACCTTTCATCTTTGTTCATTCGTATGCATCCTTCGATAATCTCCTTCAGCTCAGGCACTTTCACTTTGTAGAAGCTGTCTGGCTTCATGCCCTGAGATACAGAAGAAACACAAATATTGGAGGATAGCAGAGTCAGAGAGGTTAAATAGAGCAGGTCAGGTTTATAATATCCAAACAGTAACCAGCAGATCATGTGACAGTAAGACACTGCACAGCTCTTCAGTTTCAGAGCAGTTCTGTATCTATGAATACCAGCAGCAGGTCAAGCTTGTGCATTTAACTCTGCATGTCTGCTTGACAGGGAGAAGTTACAAGCTGTATCACATTCATATAAGGTCACAGAACCAATAAACTGTGGCACATTTGAACCATACATTTACAGTGCACTGACATATTGGTTGGGGCTATTAGGAATCCTAAAATTACGTTCCTGTTAGAACAGGGACTACAACATACCCAGCGAGGGTGTTATCCACTACTCTATACAACCAAAAACACCCTGTTTAGGTAATTGTTCAGTAACTACTCCAAATGATTCAGTAACAACTATAATTGATTCTGTAACAACTATAAATGATTTAGTAGCAACTATAAATAAGTCAGTAACAACTCCAAATGATTCAGTAACAACTATAAATGATTCTGTAACAACTATAAATGAGTCAGTAACAACTATAATTGATTCTGTAACAACTATAAATGATTTAGTAGCAACTATAAATAAGTCAGTAACAACTATAATTGATTCTGTAACAACTATAAATGAGTTAGTAACAACTATAAATAAGTCAGTAACAACTACAAATGATTCAAGTAACAACTATAAATGAGTCAGTAACAACTACAAATGATTCAGTAACAACTATAAATGAGTCAGTAACAACTACAAATTATTATGTACCTACTATACATGATGCTACTCTAAACTCTAAAGGATTCAGTATCTGCTCTTAATGATTCATTATCTACTCTAAATAATTCAGTAACTACTACAATTGTCTGTAGCCAATATACATGACTCAGTAACTACTCCAAATGATTCAGTAACAACTATAAATGATTCAGTGACTACTATAAATGACTGTAACTACTATACATGACTCTGTAACTACTCTAAACAATTCAATAACAACTCTGATTTAATATCTACTCTAAATGATTCAGTGTCTAAATATTTCAGTAACAAATAAAAAACATTCAGTAACTACTACAAATGTCTGTAGCTAATACACACGACTCAGTAACTACTCTAAATGATTCTGTATCATGTGATTCAGTAACAACCATAAATGATTCTGTTACCACCATAACTGATTCAGTACCAGGGATGGGTGGCAGAATATCAATTTTACAAAGAGGATGAGGTTTGTCATTTTTTGACCAAAGAGGATGGTGAAATTTATTCTTCATGAAAAGCTCATCCTTCATCTCGTCAGAAAGACTGGTGTCAGATAGTATTCAAACCAAATCACTGGCAGTGTTATCATTACTTTGTGGACAGTTTCATTACTTTGTGGACAGTTTCAGAAGGTTTAGTTCATTTTTGTCAAATTTTCTGTTATTCTTCTTAGCACATGAAACTTGTTCCACTTACTTCCATGAGGTTAATCCGTGAACATAAGCAGCTACGTAGTTAGCTTGTTTTTTTGCGGGGGTGGTTGCCCATTTGGCCTGAGCGCCTCATAGAGTTTGAATTAAACCTTGTTGCTAAGTCATCGCCTCGCACTCTTTCCCGTTCAGCTCTTGTGATGTTTGTGGAGCCTCCGCAGAGCATGCAGTTTCATGAAGCGTTGGATTCACGGATCGATTCCTTTTCCGCTTTGCCCAAATCTCCCGGCTTTGTCGTTCACTCTGTAGCAGCTGCACAGCGCACGCTCTGTTTGGCCAGCGTGAGACTCCTCGTTTCAAAAACAAACAGAAAACCAGAGCTTTGACACAGTCGCTCAATCACATCTCAAACCACCATCAGAAATAGCCTCGATTTCCAACTCAGAGCATCATGGAGATGAAGCGATGCTGACGTCAGCCAAGACGATGGGTATAATAATCCAAGATGATTCACTCTGCATGCACTGTAAATGCGCCGTGCTGATTTAGACCCTCCAGAAGTGGACAGTGCAGTGACACAATCTGTGCTGTTTTGGCCATGTACGATCAGATATGAACATAAGCAACAACAAATCGTTTAAATACTTATTCCACAATATATTTATGATTTATTTTACTAAAAAATAAATAGCAATGAACATCTTATTATTGATTAGTTGGCTTGACAATGCTTACACTTCCCATCTAATGTTATATTGATTCAGTGAAAGAAAATACACATGGTGGACGCTGAAGAGTCGAGTCACGCACAACCCAAAACGTCTAAAATAAGACAGCACTGCACTTTAAAACCATCTAAGAAGGCATTTTGTAAAATCAAGCTCATCCGGCACGACGGTAGCCCCTGTCTGATTTTCAGTAGAGACACTTGCAAATGTTGCGGCTGAGTTTCAAGTAAGTTGCAGGGCATTTCACATTATGCAATATATATATATATATATATATATATATATATAACCTTGTATATCCAAAACGGTAACTCCTACTCCTAGAGTAAATCCAAAAAGCTCTCCTACTTGTAATGTAAGCCAGTGTAACCCAACTAACCCAAGTAATTCTGGGCCGTTTCTTTGGGAAATTTACACACAATGTAAACGACAACAGGCATTTTCAAATTATATCAAAAACTGAAAAATGGAGATACAAGGTTTTGTTCAAACAGCGGCGATATATGAAGCGTCATATCTACAAAACAATAACTTTACAGAAGAAGGAAAAAACATTTTTTACTTTGAATGGAGGTTAACAGAACAGGATTTTTTTTCAAGTAATTTTGGAGCCTTTCCATTGGTCCATTCGTCAAGAAATTTTTGGCATGTTGTAAAGGACCATGTGCGTTTTCAAATTTTGTAAAAAAGTACAAAATGACAAAAAAGGAGATGTTTTGTTCTGACAGCAGCGGAGACATAAATAATCTGATTCGATTTCTGGATTGAGGTGCTGGTGCTGATTGCAAACTTTGATGTTTAAACAATCCATTGCAGAACAAACCTTTACCAGAATGTCCATTTTCCACAATGCACACTGTCACAGTTTTGCACTGTGAGATCACAGGGTCATGATGCACTGTCAGGCTGGCTTTACATGCTGAAACTTACACGCAACTTAATGTTGTTTAAAACCTATGAGAAACTAAGTTGCATAATGTGAAGCATCCTGCAACTCACTTGAAACTCAGATGACACAGCCTACCAAAATGCCAAAAAGTGCATTATATGATCTTGTCAAACGGTATCATTTCAAACAACTGATTTCACCAAATCAACATCCAAGAGAAAAAAACAGAAGATGGTCAAGATTCTCCTGACTGATGTTTTGGCCTCCTAAAAGTCACCGAAACTGGGTTTTTGGAAAACGTTCTACCGGGAGGAGACTTTCAAAACTTTTCTGCCTTTTTGTATGGATGGTAAACTCCATGCAATCTTATGAAATTCCATGCAATTCCACGAAAACCATCATGCTCAGTGCGACTTTGCAGTGTTGAGCTTCAGGATGTGTCTAACGAGGTTGATGGCCAGGCAGCTTGTTTCTGTAATACCAAGTTTGATTGTCACCGACCACACAGAGACATATTCATTTAGCTTTGCTTTATCATTAGTAAAAAAAAATGTATAATATTATAATTATCAAATATTTTCCTACAGCTCTGAATATGACTAGATTTCTCAACCAGAAGTATCCGTGTTAGATGACTTTTCATGGATCTTTCGAGCTTTTTACGGTTATATAATAATGAACGAGGCATAATTCCAAAAACGAGGGAGGTTATGTTTTCATAGAGACCCGTGTAACGACGGGATCCTTGCAGGGGACATTCCAGAGTCCACCAGCGGGTCTAATCCAGCTCCACAAGCACAATTAAGACCCCGCACAGAGCTGATCTAGGGCACGCTCTCAAGGAAATGAGCGGAAATGAGCAAAGAAGGGCAGAGAAAGAAAGAGGAGCGAGACATATAGAGGAATGTTTACTGCTCGTTTCCATGCAGATTTAAGGCTCCAAACTCAGGGCAGTCCACTGGGGGGGCCCACATGGTGGGGGACCAGATAAGGACATCCAGATGGACGTGCGTATGACTGCTTATATAAAGTATCCTCACGCTGAGCCACACATGGCAGATGTGATCAACAGCGAATGCAGTGAGCAAAGAAAGTCAATGGGATTTCAAAGCAGCCGTTCAGTAAGTAATCAGTCTACTGGTCCCAAAACAGGCCACTGCTGTCGACACAACAATTTCTCATGTTCGTTTAAGCTTCTTTCTCTGCTTCTGTTTAGTCCGAGTGAGTGTAGCAAGGCAAACGCTTGACAATTGACAGAACGTCTAGGACCTTTTGACGCGTAGCATCGCCAACAACCGCCTACTTTGACAGGAAGGGGCCGTTTAACTAAATTGCAAAGCAACCAAACTGCTGATTTTCAAAACGGTGCTGCAAGAAAAACACATCCACAGGAAACAAAGTGGTACACCCTTAAAAAACAGGTTCATCATAGGTTCTTTAGTAAAAGCAACAGGTATATAAAACAAAGAACCATTTGAATGTTTAAATTCTTTATTGCATGGTTAAATGGTTCTTCGCTATGAGGAAGAAACTATCGAATCTTCTAAAAAATGGTTCTACATAGCACCAAAAAGAGTTCCACAACTGTCAAGGAACCTTTTTTGTACTGTACAGAACCCTTTTTGCTAAGAGTGTGCGTCCGCCTGTCTCATTAATGCCTCAAATAAACTCCCAAATATCTTTTCACAAGCATTCTTTTTTCCATCCAGCACCTACATCTTTCTCTAAAGGCCAGGGATGGGCAATATATCAATACTTAATTATTATCATGATAAATTATGCCACGGTACAAAGAGAGCATAATTATCCCTGTTTAATTGGATTTAGTGCAGCAGTTTGTGAAACATTGAATAAAAACCACAGTAGTATCATCATCACCATCTAGTATGTTTATCATTATCATTATTATTATTATTATTATTATTATATTTTATATGTGGTACTACAGGTTCTATTTTGTCTGTTCCAATTTATTTCATCTCTGAAAAACTAAATATTGTGATGCGTATCGTGTATCTTGAAAATGTTTCCAATTATTGTGATATAATATTTTTGCCGTATCACCCACCTCAGCTAAAGGCTAATTATTGTCATCATTAAGAAAAGGCAAATGCTTGCTGGTGGAAAAGCATCAACACGGACGAGAAGAACGCAACCGATAAAATCATGGTAGTTGTGTTTTGCTGATATTCTAAGTGAAAATCAAACATTCTCTACAGAGAAAACACTTAAACACAGCATTTTTCTGTACATTTTAGCACACAATTTCCATTCATTTACTAAATTTAACATATTTGGAAAAAATTAAACATAAAATAAAAAATGTGTCATAACTTTTCAACACACAAAACTTTGTCTGATGCCACTTTATGTCCCATTAAGAAACTAAAATATGTTAAAAATATAGAGTATGGATTCCTCTCTGGATCACTATTGACTTTTTAATGTACTTACTTATTCAGTCGTGTATTCACATATTATGTAGTAAGCTTTATTCTTGCTTAGTGCATGTTTTTACTCCATGATCTCTGTCAGTTTTCTGTTGGTTTTGTCATCATTTTGTCCGTTATTTCCTTTAAGTTAAACGTAAGTAAATCGCTGTTGAAGAAAACCTCGTTTTCCATTTTTGATGTTTTTCAGTTTTTGACATAATTTGAAAATACCTGTTACTCTTTGCATTGTATGTAAATTTCATGATGAATGGGCTTAAAGAAGTGACCCAAAATGACTTGGGACAAAAGTCTGGTTCCACTGAATTACATTAAAAGTAAAGCAGGTTTTTTCCTTCTACTGTAAAGTTACCATTTTGGAGATATGAGGTTTTGTTCCCACAACAGCGAAATGTCTCTGTAAATGTAGTCAGTGGTCGTTGAACTTTAAATGGAAACACAACAAAAACACTGTACGTGTCTGAAATTCGTACTCACGCTTGTGACTTTCCGGTAGATCTGCGCAGCGTTCTGACATTCAGAGTACGGGTATTCTGACGTAGTCATCTCCAAAATGCACATTCCAAACGCGTACACGTCGACCGCCTCGTCGTACTTCTCCTCGTACATCTCTGGAGCCATAAACTCTGGGGTTCCTGTAAAAGGGTTGAAGTCGGTGGTTTCATTTTGATTTTTAAAGCTTTCAGTCGTTTCTGAGTGTGTACTGTTTATATCTGGAGTGATGTATCCAAGACGGCTCACCGATTACGCTCTTGGCAAACGATGCTCTTTTCAGCGTGGCCAGTCCGAGGTCACCGATCTTCACGCTGCCCGTGGGCCCAGTGATGAAGATGTTGTCACACTTCAGGTCTCTGTGGATGATGGGAGGAGTGCGCGTGTGCAGGAAGTGAAGGCCTTTCAGGATCTGACGGCTCCAGCGCTGAAGGAGCTTCAGCTTCATTTCCTTAAAACGCTTCAGGTACCTGTGAGGTGGAGAGAAACGGAATGAGCGACATTCAGTGACCGACAGCTTTCGTTTCATTCATTTTTATTTATTGGATAATACTGCATGTCCTCAAGGAGAGCTTTGGAAACGGTTTGGCTTACACCAAATCACAAGGGGCAGTTTTTTTGCATGTATTTAGACTAATACTAGTGTTGTTTTAACAAACTAATGCTTACCGTTCAGATAAACAGCTTTAAAAATTATTTACTCACATCTAGGATATTTGCATTGTGTTGTATTTACAGTCATATGGAAAAGTCTGAACACCCCAGTCAACTATAATGTTTAATATATTGGAAAAAACAAACTTAAAATATAAAATATGCCATAACTTTTGCACACGTTTTATTTTCTTTCCAACATGTTCAATTCGGAAAATCAGGGAGCGCTCAAACATTTGCATTCAACTGGAGATACGACCACACACGTCAATATACCTCACACAATTCTGCATTAATGCTCCCAGTTGTTAGAAACTACTGTGCTGTTCATGAATTAATTTTATGAAGGGCTGGGCAAAGTGACAATATTTATTTTATCATAATAATTACATCACAACACAAAATGCTTTTCTGAGCGAACTGTGGATTCATCGGTACTTAATTAGCCTTAATTAGTCTTGTTCAATTACATGTAGTGCTTAAAAACTATCAAAAACCAATTTTTGATAGTGTCTTTTAAATCTACTGTTTTGTTTTGTGTTCCAACCTCAGAGGAACTAAATATCGTGATGGCTACTGTAAAAAAGTAAAAAAAAACTGTCTTGAAGTATTGTGATGTAATATATTTGCCTTATCAAACAGACAAGACTCACGTTTTGAGGGTGCCCGAGGTCATAAGCTCGGTGACCAGCAGGATACACTTGTGTCCTTTCACAGTGGACTTCCAGGAGTCGTAGAAGCGGACGATGTTCGGGTGCTGCAGGTTCTTCAGCATCTCTACCTCCTCACTGAACCGCTGACGCTCAACTTTGGTCAGTTTCCGTGTCTGAGGGGAGAATTTGGCACTTTAAATCAAAATAAAGCTCATTTTTCTAATAAATATGGACAAAATATCATATATATACATATATATATATATATATATATATATATATATATATATATATATATATATATAAAATCGTGTTTCATTAACTTCCATTCAAAGTTAAGGATATTTTTACCTTCTGCTGTAAAGTTACCATTTTACAGATCTGTTCTAGGTTATACAATATTGTTCTTCAAGGGTTCTTCAGTAAAGAAATAGTTCTACAAAGAACCATTTTGAGAGCCCTTTGCATGATTTAAGGGTTCTTTGCGTCATGAAATGTTCTTCAGATGGCTTTATACAACACCTTATCGAAAATGGTTCTATATAGCACCTCTATTATATTACGATGTGAAGCTTTTAACAATAGTCCCTTTATGGTGCTATAGAGAACCATTTTCTTTACTAAAGAACCCTTGAGGAACCATATTTGTAAGCGTGTATATAAATAGAAATAGTTTTTGACGTTATTTGAAAATGCCTGTTGGTCGTCTGTTACATTGTTTGTAAATTTCATGATGAATGGACTAAAAGAAACGACCAAAAATGGCTCGGAAAAAAGTCTGGTTCCATTGACTTACATTAAAAGTAAAGTAGGTTTTTTCCTTCTCCTGTAAAGTTACCATTTTGGAGATATGAGGTTTTGTTCTGACAACAGCGATATATAGTTTTGTGCCCCTTATACATTACCAATATCTCAATGTATATGGGAAAACGTATATTGGCACGTTTCATGGAATAACTCAAAAACCTCGCTCATTACAAGCGAGTGTGACAGCCATGCGGAAAGAGGCAGGCTTGAGAAATTCACACGATGACTGACAGGAAGGCAGGTTCAAATACTGACTGTACATAAACCTCAATTTGCTTCTCTCAAGCACTAACACATTCTACAAAAGCCTGTCATTTTCAGTGCACCTGTCCGAACAGCCCTCTACAAGTTTCAGATAGAGATAAACCTCACAAAAGCTGCACTACATAAATGAGAACGCATCCTACAACAATCCATGACTCAGTGTTAGTCTTGGCTCACAATCGCCATTGAAAAGTTGCGTCAAGGAACAAGTCAGCTTCTTGGCAGAAGCACAAACCCACTAAAGGCAGGCGAAGACCTGTGGATCCCTCATTCTACGTGAGAGAAAGTCTTGCATAATGGGATTTTTTTTCTGTTGTCACTTATTTATAACGTGTGCCAAAGTGAGCTTTCTGAAATAAAGAGACTTCAGCAACTGTCTCCCACTTCTTGACACAGTCTTTTTTGTCCTTTTTCGCGAGTATGAAAGGCCCTGATTTAGCGCGGGGCCTCTTGGCTACAGCAGGTAGGTGGAAACGTCCTCCCAGGAGGCCGACGCAAAGCACCATGAATCCTGCATTCAAGGAGTTCCTGGAAAAAGTGTTTGTGCATGTGTAAGTGCGAACAAGCAGGTCTCTAACGATGGCGACTTACGGCGTGAGGGTCTGAGAGGAATCGAGGAATGCCCACCTGACCGGCGTCATGTCAACAACACGTAAATAAAGGGTCAAACAGGAGCTACGCTTGAGTTCTGGTTTGCTTTGGAATTGAAAACAGTGACATCTGGACGGTTGTGAGGGCTTGTCTCACAGTAGAAAGTCAAACCTGACCTTTCTGGCAGCTCAAATACAATGATTTCTTCTTTTTCGCACATTTGTCACACTTAATTGTTTTAGATCTTCAATCTATTTTTAATAGAATCCAAAGATAACTTAAGTAAATACAAAAAGGTGTTTACTGAATGATCCAACACCAACACCAGCTCTGTGTGAATAAGCAAATCCCCCTTAGTCACTTAATCGACCAATTAACCAACTTTAGTTAATATTTACGATCATTAAACTGGACACACCCGGGCTTAATTTCTGCCAGCCCTGCTGAATCTAAACACCACTTAAATAGAACATTTCCAGCACTGTGAAGTAGGCTAAACGGTTTCAACAAGCAGCACACTATGCTGCAAGCAAAAGAAGCTCGAGAAGAGATGATTAAAGATCCCAGCAAACCACAGTGAGAGCCACTGTCTGGAACAGGAAACCTAAAACAGTGGTGAATCTTCACAGAAGTGGCCCGCCTACCAAATTCCTCCAAGAGCACAGCGACAACTCAACCAGGAAGACTCAGAAGAACCCAGGCAGACATCTAAAGGACTGCAGGCCTCACTTGCTTCAGATGAGGTCAACACTCATTATTTCACCACTAGAGAGTGGGCAAAAATGGTCTGGGTGAACGAATTGCAAGGCGAAACTGCTGCTAACTAAGAAGAACATAAAGGCTCGTCTTATATCTGCTAAAAAACAACCCAAGCCTTTTGGAACAATGTCCTGTGGATGAAGAGTAGGACTCTGAAAGATCCCCCCCATTATATCTGGTGTAAAGCTAACACAGCATTCCACAATAAGAACATCACAGCAGCGAAACATGGTGGTGGTAGTGTGATGTGGGGATGCTTTGCTATATCAGGGTCCTGGGCGACTTGACAAAATTGACGGAAGAATGAATTCTGAGCTCAACTAGAAAATCCTGCAGGAGAACGTCTGCTCATAAGTCTGTAATCTGAAGCTAGAGTGCAGTTGGGTTATGAAGCAAGACGACGAGCTGAAGTCCACCTTTGAAAGTCAAAGTCCTGATCTGAACCCCATCGAGATGTTGTGGCAGGACCCTAAACAGGGCAGTTCATGCTTGAAAGTTTGGGGGGGGTTGTTAACTTTTTCACACAGGTTATAAAGGTTTTACAAACCGTTTTCCTACAATAAATAAAACGATCATTCAAAAACTGTTTTCATGACAAAACATATCAGATTTGGAACCTTTTTTGCAAATCCCATTCATTTTTCCCATAGAGGAAACGTCCTTATTCCTCAACTCTCTACTGCACAATGTTGCCTCAGGGCAACAAACCCATTTTCCTCGCTTTACAATAACATTATGCGTATTTAAAGATAACAACAAGGTTAACAATAAAGGGAAGAGGTCAAGTAAACTGATAAAAAGCATGTTTTTGGTCATACTGTCTCTCTGGCCACTTTTAACATGTTTACATTCAGTATCAATGTCTTTTGTTATGAGAATTTGCAGGAATATGTTTGTTGCCTATCGGCAACATTGTGTGCATTGTGTGACAGTGGAATGGATTTAGCCAGTCACAAGCACACGGCTTTATGTTGTTCCTCAAGGCAACATACCCCAAAAGAAGCCTTGCACGCTTTATTTATTTATTTATTTATTTATTTATTTAAAGTTTTTGAATTTAATAATCAGGTCCATTTATGCAAGAAAAGTGAACTGACCTTTTTTTTCTCTCTCCTAACGTGTGCGGTAGAGGGGTAAGATCACGGCAGTGACTACAGAATGATGCCCAACTTCAGAGATCTGGCCAAGCATCTGTAGCTACCCTACTCAACTCAACTCCATTTGGACTGCTATCTTATGCCACAAACCTCCGTGACCACATTTCAGAAAAAAAAAAAATTGGTACATACCAATCACACACATACGCTCACTGCAGAGTGTGAACCGCTAATCTTATTATAAACTCAAACATCACTGCACTTCCAGCCAACAGGGCAGTGGAGCGAGCATGGAACTGTTTCAATAAACACAGAGGGCAACCTGAACCATGTTAACCACACCGACACGTTTTAACCCCACATTAATCACATTTTCATCTAAAATACACCTTCCTGTATCTCCAGCACTAATGCTGTGTAGAACAAACAAACTGATTACGGGTTTTACTATAAACAACACCTCTAATAGGGCTTCTTTTGGACACCGACCATAAACAGGGTCTAATAAACCTCAGGGGGTGGAAAGAAGCAGAGTACTCCGTACAGAGGCTCCATTACTGCACACGCTTCAAAATAAAGTTGCCAAATAAGGTTCTCTGGAGTGATGTGTGATGCTATAAGAGCTTTTCCCTGAAGAACATCTAAAAAGGATGATTCTTTAACCTCTGAAATGGCCAGAGCCCAAAGTTTTATTACACACTTCTAACTATATAGAACTTAAGAATAGCTCAACCAGTTTGCATCAAAGTCCAAGTAGTTACTGAATAATAAGTATACAATAATACCTAATATAAGTATTTAATAAATATTTATTATATTGCTGTTGCCGGAAACAAAACCTTGTGTCTCCGAAATGGTCACTTCACAGGGGAATGAAAAACATCTTTTACTTTTAATGTAAGTCAATGGAACCAGAGTTTTTTTGAGTAATTTTGGGCCGTTTCTTTTGGTCCATTCATCATGAAATTGACGCACAGTGTAAAGGACAACAGGCATTTTTAAATTGTCAAAAACTGAAAAACTACAAAAATGGAACTATGAGGTTTTGTTCTGACAGCAACGATTTATAATATAATGAATAATATAATAATACCTAACAATAAGTATATAATAATACCTTAGTATGTAATGCAAGAGTTTTAAGTTTAAAGAACTTTATAATTTAAAAGAACTTTTTAATGTGGTGTTGATGTGTTTGCTACTCAGTGGTCTGCTGGACCCACCACATTATTGGTTATTTAAATCAATACAGCCATAACAATTTATGTAAAAATACCAGATGTTTAAAATATCACAAGTGTCCAGTGTAGGGTTCTCCTTTAGCAGCTGTAGCCAGTCAGCAGCCTGTCCATGTTGTCCACCCTCACACACGCACACACACACACACACACACACACACACTAACAGCAGGCCATGTAGGAGGAGAACAGAGTGAAGGACACAGCACCTCCACACTTTTACTCCCCGCAGGTTCACCCAACACCACATGTGTAATATAAGTGTGTGGGGGGTGAACAGAGTGAAGACACTGAAAATGGGTTATTTTATATGTTCTTCACAGAAAATGAGCAAAGAACAAGAATCTGAGGGTAAATTAATAATAAATCACATCATTTTTATTTTGGTAAACACTGAAAATGGGTCCCACAGACCTG